GGAGACCCCGGCGCCCGGCCCCGCCCGCAGGTCCTCTGCAGGGGGAGCCTGGCCTGCGTCCGGCGCCGCCTCTGAGGCTTAACTGCCTCGGAGCGGGGCCATTCATTCTCTTCGCCTGCCTCTGTCACTAATTTGGACCCAGGGGCCCCAACTCACAGTTTTCCAGAAGTCGTGGCGGAACCTCAAGGGGAGCTGCTTGCGGAATGCGGCGGGCTTGGAGAGGGCTCCGAGCCGAGAAACGCGCTGAAGCCTTTGGCGGCAGCCTGAGGTCCGGCCTCCTTTGGGCCGTGGCCCTTCCAGTTTAACCCTGACTGCCTGAAACGATCCCTGTTGATTGTCAGAAACATAGTGATATAACCCTTTACTGCAGCGCTCCCCAAACTCGTCGGAACCTAAAACCCACATGCCCCGCACCCACTTCTTGTTAAACATGCAGATTCCCGGGCCCCACCCTGACTTTTCTGGACAGGCTCTGGGGAAGAGCCTGTGAGGTTGTGTGTTTAAGGACTTCCCTAAGGGACTGTTATGACAACGTGCGTCTGGGAAGCCTTGCCTGTAAACCGAATGGTCAGCCAGGCTTTCCCAGGATGGGCGCCAGGCTCCGGTTCCTTGAAAAGTATATCCTGGAAAGGTCTGATAAAGGTGTAAATGTGTCAAACAGCTTGAAGGATTCTTGTCCAGGTGATGTTAAGGATGTCACAAATACAAAGGTTTGTTTCGCAAAGAGTTTGAGGTAGCTTATAACATGTAATAAATGTAACAACTAAATTAGATCCTACATTTAAACAGGTCGTATAGAGCAAAGAGAGAGAACCGAGTTAGTCTGACCGTAAGACAGTATTTCTGGTTAAGTCTTTTGCAGCTAAAACCAAATATGAACAGTTACATGGTTTTCATTATTCCAGAGCAACAGTTTTCCTAGCTTTGATTTAAAAAAAGAATTTTGCATGTGGGGCTTCATGTTTGGAGGGAGGAGACCGAGGGCCAGCATGTCTTGGCTGTTGCGGTGGCCAGGGCAGCAGTAGGATTCAGAGGGTACGGTCCAGCTGCTGGGGGCAGCCCAGAGCCCAGAGCAGAGCAGGAAGGATTTCACTGGGGAGCTGGCTGCAGCTTTACTCTTTCCTGACCATTTCTCAGTAAACCCTGTAGGGAGTTGGAACCAGAGTCTCAGACGTAAGGATGGATTTGCAAGGCCTTGATTAGGGAGGACTCAATCAGCAGGCCTGGAAGGGAGGCGGGGGCATCTCCTGCCAGGGTTGTCTTCTGGGGCTGGGGGCCCCAGGCTATACCCATCCAGGTAATGAACAGGCCTGGTGTAGGAATGTTTCCCAGTTTGCCCCCATCCTTCCACGCATCCCAAGGCACAGCTGGCCACAGCAGCCCGTGAACAGGGACCCAGTCTGAGGGGCCCACAAATTCCCAAAGCCCATGTAGATTAGCAGAGCTGGCCAAGCCTGGAGCAAGCGGGGCTGGGGAGCATTGTGGTGTCAGAGTGAGCCTGCCCTGTCCAGAGCGGGCAGCCAGTCACTGGCAGGCAGGAAGGATGATCTGCAGTTCAAGGAAGGCAGACACTTAGTTTTTAATGTCAAATCTTCAAATGTTTGAATGTCGTCACCTCATTTAACACATTTGAAGCCATGTGGCCAGTCTGGCTAGGCAGGAGACAGTTTGGACCATTGTTCCAAATCGGTACTGCTGCAAACAGGGGGCAAGTTTCCTTTGCTCATAACCTTAGAAATGGTGAGTTATCGAAGTTTGGATGGTTTTTCACTGCTAGACTTCTCAGAGCTTCCAACACATTGGTGCACTTGTGCAACTCCAGATCAGGTGGATGGTAGATACAGTCGCCAAACGTTGGCCCCGGCAACTCGCCTTTTATAGAGCATCTTCCAGCAAGTACATCTTTGAACACACTTTGAGAAATGCTGCTTTGGACTGTGACTCAGTTGTCATAGCAGTGACGCAGCACGCCTGTTTGGGGTGTGTGGTATGTGTTTAGCTGTTGCAAGGTACCTGTGAAGAAGCTTTCTGACTTTCCAGTTTAGAAAAATGCTAGGTTTTTTTTTAAATTTAAGATCAAAACAGAGTCCATTAGTCATTGGTATAACTTTTCCCAAGACAACAGCTGTTGTTCTTGACTTCATTCTTGAATATTTCTGAATCAAAATTTTTACAACAGGGTAGTTTACCATGTCATCCCTGGGTAAAAGTGTACTTGATAAAGCAGGCAAACTCAAACAATAAACCCCATGAAGAAAGCAGCAAAACTACAGCATGTGCTGGAGTCACCATAGTGGATCTAATCAACATGTCTTTAAAATCTGAAGCCTGGCTCTCCTGCTAGTGGTGGAGCTGCAGGCGGGCAGCCTGGACCTGGGGAGGGATTGCTCCAGGTGCGTTTTGGGGCTTGATATGTTGTGATATTAATCCCATTTACTGTTACATGTGAGACATTGTTACAAATGGAGCCATCCTGGGTCCCCGGGGCTTCTGCAGAAGTCAAAAGTTCAGCGAGGGGTCTCTGATGTGCAGAGAAGGATTACACCCTCACGGACTTGCTCTGTACTCTGAGGACACTGATTTCATTGTTTCTGGGAGATGTTTCCAGGTGCTTCTGCTATGTTGAGCTCTGTGGTGGGTCTGTTCAGTGGCAGATTTCATTTGCTTCAACTTTGCATCGTGGCCCAAGGCTGAGACTTGGAGGAAGAAGTTGTACAGGAGGGCAGCACCAAGGCAGCTTTTGTTCTAGGCCAGGGAGGGGGCAAGGGCAGATTGCAGGTCCCTGAGACCTCTGAGGTGCACTGGACCCCTGCTGCCACTCTTTGCCCCTCACGCTTCCGGTTGATCTCAGCACTGGGAGCCTTCCTGTCTTCTGGGATCTTGTCCCCTGTCAT